CCAGCACCTGACGGAGGCCACAGCAAGCTCGAGCTGGGCCCTCGCCCTCGTGGGGCTCGCAGGTTTGGGGAGATGAGTTGAGGAAGGGACCACACTCACAGGTGCAGAAGCACAAGCAGCAGCAAGCACCCAGGAGAAGAAGTTCCCGGGCCTGTGCCCAGGGTCCCGAGCCAGGCGGGCCCGAGGGCTCCTGTGGGTCCGGAGGCTACAAGGCTGGACAGGGCTGGGCTGAACGGGGAGAGGAGTGAGCGAAAGGACCGGAGGGAAAGTGACAATGCTCTGAAGGAGTAGCAGGAAGTCAGGCCACATGAAGGTGAAGAAGGGCAGGAAGCTGGCGTGGTGGCGCACACCTTCGATCCCAGCACTCTGGGAGGCTGAGGCAGGAGGACCACCAATTTAAGCCCAGTCTGGGGAACTGAGTGACTTAAAACACCCTGCCTTAAGATAAAAAATAAAAAAGGGTTGTGGATGTGCAAAGGCCCTGGGTTGAGTCCCCAATGTAAAAGGAAGGAAGGAAGGAAGGAAGGAAGGAAGGAAGGAAGGAAGGAAGGAAGGAAGAAAGAAAGAAAGAAAGAAAGAAAGAAAGAAAGAAAGAAAGAAAGAAAGAAAGAAAAGCACAAAGCTGCTGCCACCTGGGTGGACTGAACAGAGGAAGAGAATGCGGCTACTGAGCTGGGACCGCAGAGTTGAGGACTCACCAAGCTGCTTGCAGTGGGGGAAGCGACAGGCAGATGGGTGTGGCTCATCCCCCGTCCCCCTGGGCTGCCCTTGGTGGGAGTCAGAGTCCAGGGAAGGCTCCACCTGCAGCCCAGGTGAAGGGGCAGAGCGGAGTGCTCTGCTCCGGTAGAACCTAGGCAGGGGTGGAAACGCACAGCACACGCCAGGCGTTGGTGTTCCAGGTCTCCTGGCGGCCAGGCAGGGCCAGGGGTGGGGACCTGGTTTGCACCCGGGGGGCAATGAAACCTCGACAGGTTTAAGCGTGAGGTGACCACAGAGACCTGTGGGACCACAAAGAACTATGCTGCCGGCCGCGGGTGGACACCCAGACCCAGGCCGGGCCCTTGCTGTCCAGGGACCGTCCCAGCTCTGGACCTGCAGCAGGAGGCAGCACCTCCCCATCCCTCCTCCCCTCTTAGGCTGCATGGCAGCTCTGCCCCAGGGCGAGGCCCTGGCCCACCCCTCCCACCCCCCAGTCTCTCCCTGGTCCCAGATGCCCACACCTGGGCCACAGCGCCAGCCTCTGCCTCACCTGTCCCAGTTCTTTCTGCATCTCTGGCAGCCCTGCTCTCAGGCCTAACCAGTATTAATGGCTGTGCGGGGCACCGGAGCCCCAGGGGAATCTTCCGGGAAGGTGATGGGGTACTTAGGGGGCAGGTCCCAGAACCCAGGGACCCAAGACACAACCTCTGTGTCCCTCAGGGCCAGAGCCAGAGCCAGAGCCAGTCCTTGCTCGAGCTACCCCAGCAAGAAGTCAGGACAAAGTCCTCAGAGCCCCAAGTCCCTGTTCCTGAAAGGTCATGAGCGCAGAGGGCCAAGTTCCAGTCCTGCCTTTGGGTGACTTGAGTGACGCCAGGCTGTGCCTCACTCTCGGAGGCAGAGGCAGAAGCATCTCCAAGAGAAATGAGCCCTGATGTGACACGTGCTGCCTCTGATGCAGGCTGAGACGTGGCTGCTCCTCAGACCTGGATGGACCAGGGGGATGTGGCTCTGGCAGAGATAACAGTACAGCTGGAGTCTGAAATCAGAGGCAAAGTCATGCAGCTCTCAGTGAAGGCTCTGGAGCCAGACAGCCCAGGCTGGAATCCCAGACCTGTGAGTTAGATGCTGTGTGACCTTGGGAAGGAGCTTAGCCTCTCTGTGCTCAAATGTCCACATCTGAGAAGTGGAAACCATCTTTGTTCACTCATCAAATCAGGTGCTGGAAGGACTACTTAGAATGATGTCTGTAGGTCCGGGCCTGACCTCTGAGATCACAACCACGATCCTCCCCTGAAGACACACTGGCCATGGGCTGCTGGTGCCGCAGCCTTTGCCTCCTCTAACCCAGCTCTGGGGTGGGGGGGGTGGACTGGGAGCAGAGCGGCCTGTGCCAGGGACTGTGAGCTACTGTTCCTCGGGAGCCTGCCCTCCGGACAGCTGGAATGCTCCCCATCACGCAAGGAGCCGCCAGATTGGAATTTAAAAATGCTTCCCCTTTTAGAGCGAGCCCTGCCTGAGTATTTCTGGCCTGTGAAAGGAACACAGTTTTGGAGCCAGGGCAGAAAAACCACATGTGCGTGCACAGCCCAAGGAAAACACGGCCACCGAAGCCTGTGCTCACAGCCTGCGGGGCCTCCGCATGCTCAGGAGGGCGGGGATCCTGCGGGGAGCCCGCCAGGGCCAGGGTCAGCCGGTGGGCGGGCGGGCGGCTGTGGGAGGCAACAGGGAGGACCAGGCTGGGAACCGGGGGCCGGGGAATCACAGCAGCGGCCAGGGTGTGATTTAAAGCTGCTCAGTGCGCAGCAGAGCACGCTCACACCCACCTTGCAGCCAGTAATTCTGCCCTTCGGTGTCTATACAACAGAAAGGCGTGTGTTTCCTTCCTTTTTTTTTTTTTGAGACAGGGTCTCTCTATGTAGTCCAGCTGGTCTTGAACTCACTATGTAGCCCAGGCTCGAAACAATCCTCCTGCCTCAGCCTTCTGAGTGCCAGGATGACAGGTATGTGCTACCATACCTGGCTGTATTGTGTGTTTTGAAGGAAAGGCATGGACCCAACACTTAGGAAAAAGCCACTCCTCAAGCTGGGCATGGTGGTACACACCTGTCATCCCAGCACTCAGGAGGCTGAGGTAGGAAGATCACTGTGTATCTGAGGCCAGCCTGGGCTACATAAGAGAGTTCAAAGCCATTTGATTACATAGTGAGTCCTTGTCTCAGAAAAACAAAACAACAACAACAAAAAAACCCCACTCCTGACATGAGCTCCAGATGGAGACTCCCTAAAGCCCCCCAACGGGTAAGGCATAGCACATTCATCCCTCAGGGGCCTACTATACAGCACCAAACAGGGTAAAGGGTTGTTACTCGAAAACACAGGGGCAGTGCTGGGGTGCAGCTTGGGGCTGGAGCATGTGCTCGGCATACTGGAGGCCCTGGGTTCTACCCCAGCACAACAGAACAAAACAAAGCAAAGCACCCCCAAACAGACCTAACATGGAACAGAAAGTTGGACCCCAAGAGCACATGTGATATTCTTCTATCCCCATGGTACAAACATGGCCCACACCGGCTCGCATCTAAATAAATACACGGCCAAGCCTTGAAAACACGATCAAACGCAGAAGCAGCCAGATGTGGGGATCACGCGCTGCATGAGTGCCCGGTACAGAGCGTCCAGACCGGCCACTCTGCAGAGATAGACACTGCATCAACGGTGCCCGGTGCTGGGGGATGGGGTGAGCATAGGGTCGAGGTTTCTTTCTGGGGTGAAGAAAATGGTCGAAATTAACTGTGCTGGGGGCTGCACAACTCAGTGAATTCGCTCTCACGGGTGGATTGTGGGGTCTGTGGTTGACACCCCAATAAAGCGGCCAAGAAAGCAGTCTGGAGCGAGAGCTTAGGGTGCCTTCTGCCCTGGCTGTGAGCTGTTACTCTTGGCAGGGGGACAGAGGAGCCTGGACAGCATGTGCACTCCTGGGAACTGGACATGTGCTACTTCTAGGTGGCCCACGGGGGTGTCCGGCTTGGGAGAATTCGCTGAGATGCCCGCGTTTCTGTCCAGAGGTGACACTTCAGTGAAAGTTTTTAAAAAACCCGACACTCAGTTGAGTGCTAGACGCATGCTTCAGGGCCACCGAATGTCCCCACCCACAAGTCCAGCAGCAGCCTGGCAACTGCATAAATAACAGGCCAGGGAGGCAGCTGGCAGCTGGGCTTGGAACACACTCCCGTGACTCAGAGAACAGCTGGAAAGAATCTGGGGCCGCTCACTTCCCGGCCCTCCTGCGCCAGCCCCTGTGGGACTCCAGCGCCCGGGCTGAGCGTGGCGGCCGCTGGTGGAGCCGTGGGCAGGTCCAGAGGCAGCCAGTGAGCCCTGACCATTAGCCTCCTTGGCAGAGCCCAGCGAGGGACAAGGACGCCTTTATGGGGACGGATCAGGCGAGGCTGGCCTGCAGCGGGGTGGGTGAGAACAAGATGCCCGGGCCAGGATGCCCTGACACGGCCTAGCAAGAGGGATCTTGGGACACAGGTCACTGTGGCAAGTGTCAGCGTCCTACGGGGAAGGGCGCTTAGCAACGGCGCCTATTTTTTAGGTGTTTTGTGGTCAGACCTTAAAGGACAAAGCTCATTCTGCATTCGGCGACCTTCTAGTAAAGGAGTTGTGGTCACACGCTGGGTGACACAAGCTGGTTTGTTCTAAGCGTCTGCTGTACCCCTGGCCCCCTGGCTACTGTCATGTCTGTCCCTCCCCTCCTCGCCCAGCCACGGCCCACCGTCCCCAGGCCCCTCCGAGGCTTGGATGCTTGGAACCCCTGGCGACGAGCCCTCTCTCTGCAGAGCAGCAGTGGCGAGGGCGTCTTGGAGGCACCGGGATTTATGTGGAGCGTCTGCCCATCCTCGCCGCACAGCTCAGTGCCGAGATCGTTTATCACAGGCGTTTTACGAGGCCCTGAAGTTCACAGCCAAACCCTTGGATTTCGAGAGAAGGAGGGCCGGGTGGGGGTGGCATCTCTCAGAGCCGCGCTCGGGGCCCCATTCTCCGGGATCCTGTGTCAGGTTAAAGGGGAGGTTTTAGGGGACCTGACTGTGCTCGGAACCACACCCCACGAGCTGACCTTTCATTGCACAAATACAAGTTGTGATTTTTTTTTTAAACAAAGAACTCCACAGTTTACAACACATTTCTGCCTACTTTGCCTGAAGCCTGGGAGATTAAAAAAAAAAAAAAGTTCCCCTGGTCCCCACTCTCAGGGACCCCAGAATTTTAAAAAAGGAACAAATTCTAAGACAGCCACCAGACACACTGCATGTTTCGCGTTTATATTTAACAGATCGGCACAGTTTGTATGTGTGACACACGAGGAATCCTCACCACCCCTGGCGGCTGACCCTGGCTCCAGAAATTGTCCCCGTTAGCAACTCTCTGCCTCTGGGAGCCTCGGTTTCCCCACTCCTCAGTGGATAGAATGCTTCCTGCCAGGCCACAACGTACCACTGCATCTCAGGACCCACCAGATGCGAGACAGTCCCTGCCAGACCCGAGGCCTCCAAAAACCCCGGGACATTTTTTTTTTCATTGTTAACATTACTTTCTTCCTAAGAAGAAGGATATATTTTTGCCAGGCGCCTGCCATGATTGGAGCTCTTTCTGAGAACAGAGAGGTGTTTGCTTCATTCTTAGGGAAAAAAAAAGGAAAAGACAAAATAGGGCAGTCAGATGATAAATTTTGTTTTTCTGGTCCCCAGTGAGCCAGAGGCCAAACACACTGCGCACGCTGCCACTGGAACGGGCAGGGTGGGGCAGCCTGAGGAGGTAACTGTGTCCTGGGAGGGCTGCCAAGGCCCAGGCGGTCAGAGGGAACAGGAAGAGGGCAAAGGCCCCGGGAAGAGGAAGCCGGGTCACGGGGCTGGCGACACAGGAGCGTGGGGAAGATTTCACCTCCGATCGCCAGCTTTGGGGAAGAGGGAGGGGAGCAGGAGAACCCTAGGGAGCAGCTAGGGGCAGGGTGCTGGGACTTGGGGGGCCATGCTGAGGGCGGGGACAGAGTCAGCACTCCCGGAGGCAGCACTGATGGGCCCAAACCCTGACGTGGGTCCCGTTAAGCGGGCACAGCGCAGGCGGAGGCCTGGGGGGGACGCGGGAGGCAGACACAAAGACGGAGCGGGCAGCGCTTGAAACGGCTCCCTGGGGCCACGCCAGGCTTTCTCTCATCTCCCCGGGTGAGTGTGGCCTGTTCTATGTCCAGGCGGGAACCTGCCTGCTTCCTTAGGTGCAAAATTGAGAACACATGGGCTGGGCTCAGGCTGCTCCTGTCCACTGAGCTGGATTTGGGGTGAAGCAACTCTGACCAGCTGGCAAAGCCGTGGGCATTCACGGCCCACCAGGCCTCAGAGCTGGGCCAGCCTCTTCCCTTCTCCTCGCCCATGAGCTGGGACATAACAGAGCCCACCAGGGGCCGGCAGTAGCATGTCAGGGACTTGGCGGCTTGGAGGCATGCGTCTGGCATGCGGCTGTCACTCGCTCAGTGCCCACGAGCCCCACGGCTGCCTCCATGGGCAGAGAGGACGCTTTCGCCCTCCTGTCCTCAGTCCTCCGACACCAGGGGCTATGCTGTTTTGGTATTTTTCTTTCCCAGAGGGGGAAACTGAGGCTCGGAGAGGTGAAGCAGCAAGTCAAGGCCACATCTCCAGTAACCAGAGAAGCTGTGACGTCAGTCCGGCATGCCGAGCTGTGCCCCCTTGCCATCTACCCACGGCTGACCAAGCACTGTCTCTCGCCTTCTTTCTTCTCTGACCTGTCGGGGGCGCTTTCCTGAGTGACCGGCCACTGAGAGAAACAACACCCAGGTAGACCCCTCCCACTTCCCCCTGCTGGCCCCCTTCCCCCGCACTGGCACAGGGGCGCACACAGTACACACATGCACATATCTGTCTGCACTGCAAGCACGTATGTGCACAGAACCCTGCACACGCAAATGTGGGCATGAGTGTGTGCACAGTACATATGGGCACCAGCACACTAATACACACACACACACACACACACACACTCAGGAAGCTCTCTGGGAGGAGTCCTGCTTAGCCAAGAAAGCTGGGCCGTCCTCAGGCTGTGGCCCCTCGCACTGGGCAGATGCGTCAGGGGCACCACACAGGGCACCTGCCGTGCGCCTGACCTCTGTGCCCGGGCACTCTCTGCTGTCTTTGAGCCCTGCCCTCAGGTCCCAGGAGGTGGAGTCCACTGGGTGGGCTGCCCAGGGTCCCACGGCCAGCCAGGGAGAGCGCAGGACCGCGACTGGGTGTGTGGGACCTGTGCAGAGCCAGCCCTGGCTGCGCAGTGGACAGGACAGAGCTGGGTTCTGCCCTCCGGGGAGGGCGCTGCGACCCTTGGGCGGCACAGAGGGGCGAAGAGGAAGCGCAGACAGGAGAGACTTGATGGCAAGCTCGGAGGACCGGTCTCGGGAGAAAACCAGAAGCCTCTGGATGTCACTGCTCCCTGGACCATCACGGCAGCCCTAGCACGGCCCAGAGAGCGCTGAAGCAGCGGGGACAGCCCGCGCCAGGCCTGGTGGACCCTACCTACAGGCGCACAGACCCGGGTTCCCCCAGGAGCCGTCGTGCGCTCTGTCTGGGTGAGACCCAGCAGCCCCCGACTGGCAGCCATACAATGAAACAGATCCGCCCTTTAAAGTCTTCCTAATCGGTCCCTCTCACTAGGTATTAAAAATGCCAGGAGCCAGGCAGCCCCCGGGGGCCCCCATGTTCTTCCGGACAGCGTGCTGAGCCAGCACTTTCCTGGGCCCCACACAGGCCCCAAGTTCCATGGCCCCGCCACGCTGATCTTCCTGTTAATCCGGGGACTGTGAGTCCTGGAGTACCACCAGAGACTCCCAGGAGGGGCCTTTTCCCTTCTTACACATATTTATAACGACGGCCTCTTTGCCAAGAGGAAGCCCCGGCCCATCCACCCAGAGAGCCAGAGGCCCGCCCAGCCCTCTGTCCCCAGGACTCTGGGCTCCAGCTGCCCAGTCAGGACAGCTGTGCACTGCTGGGAAACCAGAGGCTCGAATCCTGAAGCTTCTGGAAGGGTGTCATTTCACAGACAGGACACGTGAGGTCCGGAGAGGTCTCCCAGCCCAGCCAGAGCTGGGGAGGCTGGGGGAGGGGTCCTGGCTGCGAACTTGCTGCGGCTGGCTCCATGCGCGGATGCTGATGTGGACCAGATGTCCGCCTCCCGAGGCTGCAGGGTCGGAGGGGTAACTTAACACTCAGCGCGGCCTCCTTCCCATCTGTGCAATGGGCTGACCGCATGCTGGCCGCAGCTGGCAGGCAGAGTCTCCGGGCTGCCGTCGTCGGAATCGCCCAGAGTTCTGTGGGTGTTTCCCTGTGTTAGACGCAATGAAGTTCGTGAAACAGCAGCTCCTGTTTAACGATGTGGGCGAAGGGCTCAGAGAGGGCGAGTTCCCCGCCTGAGGTGCTCAGGACCCTTTCCACCTCTGCCTGTGACCAGGTGGCCTTGGGCAGCCGTGGAGGGCAATGCCTGTGAGGACTCTGTCCCAGGGTGCTGCACTCACTAACGGGTGGAGAGAAACCAGGGACAACTCTTCCCTCCGTCTCCAAAACTGGAACGCCAGGCAGGCTCAGGAGAGGTGCCCGTTCGGAGCGGGGAGGGTCGCCCTTCCTTACCTGGCTCCTCCCACGTCCCGCTTGACCTCTGCTGAAAAACCAGCCTGGGCCGCTGCCGGTGTCACAGGTCCCCTGAGACCCTGGAGCCGCGCGCGCTGGAGCGGGAGGGCCCCTAATTGGGGCCATGAATCACGGCGCGCGGCCGGGGCTGGACACAAAATAGATAGAGGCGCCGGCGAGCCGCGGTGCGCAGTGTGGGACGCGGACGGGAGGAGGGAGCGGCGGGCAGGAGGGGGGAGCCGGAGGGGGAGGGGGGAAGGGGGAGGGCTGGAAGGCACAGT